AAGACTGAAACTTCTATTTTTAACCTCAGTATGGATGGAGTGGATAGTCAGTCTTTTTCCCAGGGTAAAAATGTCAATTATTAGTGGATGTAGGTTTAAGGTAAAAGGTGAAAAGCATAAAGGAGATGTGAGAAGCAAGATTTTTTACACATGGTGAGTGCCTGAATATGCTGCGGAGGAGGTGGTGGAGACAGAGGTAAAAGCAACATTTTAAGAGGCATCTTGACAGATAACCTCAATAGGCTGAAAAGAGAGGGATATGTACCACGTAAAGGTGAAAGGTTTTTAGTTTAGAAAGGCATCACGTGCTGGTGCAAGCTTGGTGGGCCGACAACCCTGTTCTTTTGCTGTAATTGTTCTTTGGGTACCATTTCTGAGAAGAAAGAATGAACAAAGAAATGTCAGCCATCAGCAATTGTAGATTGCAGAATTGTATTCAACAGCAATCTATTACGTAATGGTTCAGCAATCCGTCACTTGACCATTGCCATTAAAATACGATGTCTTTTTGTTTTCTGTCTTTAAAAAATATGTGGACTGTGATGAGAAAGAACTGTTTTTAAGAACAGGATTTACCATATTGGCTGAATAACTTCACAGCAAGCAATTTGATACCTATTGTGAACTCTGTTTCTCTGGCGATGTGCATACGGGTCACCAGCCAAAGAGTTGTTTACAAGTGAAACTGATCGGTTCTTAGCTAACCAACCAGGATGAAACTGGAAACAGGTTATGGAAATGGAGAGAAAAAATTGCATACACTTCTGTGTCTGTTCTTCTTGGCAAAAGTTGTCTGTTCTCTGCTATTTTGAAAAAACACTCCACTGAGACTTGAAGAAAACCAGTTACCTTTCTTCCAGCAGTTGCTGTGAGCTGTGACTTTTTTGAATAGATTAATCAAAGACCATTTACAAGTCAACCATCCACTTTGTCCCTTTTAAAAGCCAATGCAACCATTCAAACGAAGACCATTCAACATCCAAGGGTCTGGCTAGCTGAAGAATGATCAACTCAACATTGGAATCTGGCAGTAAGGATCACCAAACTGACTTCCCAGTTGTTCTACCTCTGCCCTTTTCTGAAGAAGGGTCAAGGCCCAAAACGTCAGCCTTCCTGCTCCTCTGATGCTGCTTGGCCTGCTGTGTTCATCCAGCTCTACACCTTGTTATCTCAGATTCTCCAGCATCTGCAGTTCCTACTATTTCTAAATCTATTTTCCCTACTTATTTTGTATGTAATGGAGAGTTTGTCAAGGGTTCAGAATTTTATTCCGTGTTGTATGCCATGTTCACGTGTAACTATGGTCTAATTACTTGTAATTAATAAATAATAAATCTTGGCTGGTACAGAAACCCAGTCAGTGCTTTCTATCAACCATAGAATTAGATTTTATTGTCAAGTGCACGCAAGTACAGCATACAGGAATACAGTGAAAAGTCTACAAAGTCACCATTCCTGGTGCTGTTAGGTACAAAGGTACGTAGGTTCAAAATCTTAGCTATAAAGAAAAAGAAGTTCAACGTTACAGTCCTCAAGTGCTTAGCCATGGGCCTGGATCTTCCTCCCCAGTGCACAGACCAACACCAGCAGGAAACAGTCGCCCAGATTGAGTCACCATTCTTCGGCACCATCTTGCTTCTATCGTTGACATCACCACCGTGAGTCTGCACTGGGCCAATTTTGGCAAAGCTGTCAGGTCCCGACTGGGCCCAAACTCACCTTCCTCTGCCACTGCTGGGAACACACTCCCGCCTCCTCCTTCCACCATGGGAGCACAAACTCAGCTCTCACTGCTGAGCTCTTCACAGAAGTTAGGTAGGTTAAAGTAAGGGGCAAAGAAGCAGTGAAAGAAGAAAAGAAAAGCAAAAGCAGACAGTGTAGGTGAACTCCAGGCAGGAGCCTGCACGCTGTGCTGCTACTCTGCTGCTGTCTTGACCTTGGTTTGAAAGTCAAGTTAACTGAGGTACTGTGCATATGTTTTTTAAAGTCAATATTTGGTATTACTCTCAGAATAATGAGTTTGGATTTATGGACTGTTACCCTAGTGGGACATGACTATAAAGCCAGGGACCAATCCCTGGTTCAATGACAACTAGAGGAGAATATTGCTTGAGCTTACCAAAAATGCAGTGCTACTGTGAAGCATCAAGGGAGTATTTGATACAGCATGGCACAAAGAAGCATTAGCCCGAAGCAAGATGGCTGTGATTGTTAGAGGCAATAATCCAAAACCAAGATCATCACTGCAGGAGTTTTTAAGTGCATTGTCGTTAGCACAGCCGAATTCATTGGCTACGTACTGATCTGTCCCGTATCAGGTTAGAAATAGGAATGTTTGCAGATGATCACATAGTGTTTAGTGCCACTCTCAACTCCTAAAGTACTGAAATAATTCTTGTCCATATTGCGGAAAGGCCCGAACAACATTCGGGGTTGAGCAGATAATAGCAAACAACATTTGCAGCATACAAGTGTTCAGTAATGACCATGTCCATCAAGAGACTACCTAACTATCTGTGCATAACATTCAATGGCATTACTATCACTGAATTCTGCAGCACCATCATCCTGGGACCTTATCATTGCCGAGAATCTCAACTGGACCATCCATGTAAATACTGTAGCTACAAAAGTAGGTCAGAAGCTAGGAATTCGGAGGTGTATAACTCTCCTCCAGATTGCTCAAATCCTGGACACCATCTTCAAGGCATAAGCCAGGAGTGTGATGAAATTTCCTCTGTTTGCTCTAATATTTTAAGGACTACAACAATACTAGTAAAGCTAAACCTGATTTAGGATTTATTTCAAACACTCTTAGAAATCAGGAAATGCTTCACAACACAGACAAACATCTAAACATTCTTGAGAGATAGGATTGGGGGGAAAAAATAGAGAATATGCAATTTGTTCAATTTAGGTGCAAAATCTATCAGAGCAACACCAGTTTAACAACACTTGCTTTTAAAGTGGAGCCCAAATATGGAGAACAATCTAGAATTCTTTTAAGGAGATATTTGATTGGCTAGCCAGTAGGTGAACAGTTGTCATTGTCATCGGCTATCAGTTACTAACAAGTATGATTATCCACCTTGGAAATTCTGGTCATGGGTTCTGTTGAGTTGTAAGTATGGCAGCACGGTGGCTCAGTGGTTAGCACTGCTGCCTCACAATGCCGGGGACCTGGGTTCGATTCCACCCTCTGGCAACTGTCTGTGTGGATTTTGCACATTCTCCCCGTGTCTGCGTGGGGTTCCTCCGGGTGCCCCGGTTTCCTCCCACAGCCCAAAGATGTGCACACTAGGTGACAATGGGTCAACCAGGGCAGTCAGGTTTGTGGATTTTGGGAAGGAGATAGAAATGGGCGGTGCAGGGTTGGGGAACGGAGGTAAGAGGCTGTGGGTGGGAGGTCACCTGGTTTTATAAGGTTGTATTTTTCTGGCCTTCTAGTGATGGTGTTTGTGGTTTTGTCATGTTGACTGCTTGTATCTGGGAACTTTCTGAGAGGACACGAGGTCCCCAGTTTGCGAATGTCTGATTAACGGTCCCTGGTATGGATTGGTGGGGGGTGGTTTGTAATTTTACAGATCTGACATATGAACATTTCCTGTGCTCATGAATGGCAACGGTTCCAACTTGTGTACAAATCGACTTGTAAACAAACTGAAGAACGCAACCCATTTACAACCTGTGGGTTGTATAGAGTCTGGTTCAGTCTAATGTTTATTTTGACTCCAGTAGCTCTTGTCTGTCCGCTGCATTTTGTTTCTTTTGCTTTCAGAAGGTATTTTGTGTATTAATTCTGTGTATTGTAATATACTTCCACATGGCCCATCTTTTAAAATTTAGTAAGCATCTATCTGACAAAACATAACATAAAAAAATTAGAAAGTATTTAGTGACTATGTTGGTGTCTGTGGACGAAGAAAGGCAATACAACACCTGTCTTCATCCTTTCTCCTTTGAATTATTTTCAGGAATGCCCTTTCTCAGCATGCAGAAGTATGTGAACTCACAGTAGGTGATAAGAATTGTTCTGCAAAGAAAATGGATATAAGTACCTTTGTAGAAAGTAATATGGCTGGAAGTGAAAGTACGATTGCAGTTCACTTAAAAGAAGACTTTGATCTGACTTCAGCTGAGGTTCAGTCTGGAGTATTGCATTGTCCTCTGTGCCTCTACTACACCAAGCACAAAAGCAGAATGGTCAATCATGTTCTGGAGCACAAAAGTATGGTTTTCAATTTACATATCTATATTTATAGCCACATTTGACTAATCATTGCAGAGCACTGTGCTGCACTGGAAATTTAAACTTCATGGATAGCAGATGTGTTTAACCAGATAATTTGTTTGCATCTTCTTTTACCTTGTATTAAGTGCAACATTACATTGAAATTGAATATAAATATTGTTGAAGGATGCATAATTAAGTGTCTTTCCAATTAGATAAAGTAATAAATTTGACATTAAGGACATTATTACATCTGTACTGATCTTAGAATACAGGATGCCAAATTGTAACTGAAGAGTACATTCCAATGTGCAAAATTTGCCCAACTACAGTACAATTTTGCACCAATTAGAATTTTCAGTCTTCAAGGAACATGGTTATACCTCAGAATAATGGTGTATATTATACAGTGTAATATTTTCTTAAAAAACAACACATTATTTGACTTGCCATCAGGTCTGTAGGATATAACTAGTGTTCATAGATTTGTTGAATATGCCCAAAATTTAATATATCTAGTGAGTCTTAATAATTTTTTTTACTCTGCACCTATATCACATGTATCTGTGCAAATACATCATATTTTATTATGTGGAATTCAAATGCTCACAAGTTCCCAATAGAATGAAATCATTGCATTTGTGCTGTTCCATTTCTTCTATAGTTCTGATTGACTTTGACTTTGACTTTGACTTTGGCAGCTTTTTTCAGATTCACTGGAATAAGACTAACTGTCAAAGTTTAGAACATTCCTCTTTGATGTTTCAGACACACTGCTAAAACCATCTGCTTCTCATCTTCGTAATTATTACATTTGCAGCAAAAGGTGCCTCTTTACAAGTATCCCAATCACAATGTAGATCCAAAATTGACAATGTAAATGTCTCTCAGAATCACAGAACTGTTATGAAACAGTAGGAGGCCATTTGGCCCATTGTGCTTGCATCAGGTCTGTTGCCTTAGTGCCAATCTCCTGCCTTTGCCCCATATACTTGCACACCATATCTGTTCAAATAATCATCAAATGTCTTCCTCAATTGAACCTACGTCCATCACATTTCCAGGCAGTGCCTTTTGTATTCTAACTAGAAGGTAAGGTAACGTCACCGTAGTCCTACCGGACATAGAGCTACCCTCTCGTTAGAGAGAAATGACTGCCATTAACCTAAAGAGTCTCCATGCCTCTGGTGGGGGAAGAGGTTGAGAAGGAGAGTCCTTCATTGTAACCTCAGCCAGTGTAGGAATTGAACCTACACTGTTGTTATCAGTCTGCATCACAAACCAGCTGTCCAGCCAGCTAAGCTAATCGATCCCCTATACCCTGATTGATGTATGAGTTTTTCTCCCATCACGCTTGCTTTATTTGCACAACAATTTAAAATCATGAACCTTGAAGCAGAAGTGCAAAAATAATTTGCATTGTTGGATAACTCCCCTCTTACACAATTTAAAAACAATTTATTTGATTCATTATTTAATGGGAGTTGACTTTAAATAAATGACAGTCTCTCCCATTAAACTGAAAGGCAAAGGCAGCTTTGAGTCAATGACAAGATTGTCTTTTCCAGACAATGTGAGTAAGTTTTATACATGCGGTAGATTAGTAATAAAAATGTTATCATTTTGCTGGACTTCATAGAAGGAACTCTGCAATGAAGAGACCTGTTCTTGCAGTGCTCCTGACTTCCTGGGATTGTGAAAGAGAGAAGGATGAAGTCATCATATTGCCTTTCAGTGCTTTTGCAATTAGATAGTGGTTTTAGGATAAAATTATGCATTTTCCGTAGAATTGGTTTGACAGTCACAGTCCGTCCTGTTGAATACGGTGTGTCAACATGAAATGGAATGAAGAAGAGGCCTCAACATGTTTGATCGCTATCATTCCTTCCATTTGTTAAAAATATAATCTCTGACATTTGCCTGTTTTTGGTCTTCAGATGGGCAGCTGCCTTATGTGGAAGAATGTCAACTTGAACTGATGCATTTTTTTCCTGGGAAGGTATACTGTTGTGATTGGTGTACATTCGTTACACTTAGTCAGGACACCCTAACACATCACATGGACACCCATAGCCCAGTGAAACCATATAAATGTCGTCTCTGTTTCTTTGAAACTAGACTACAGACAGAGCTGGAGACTCACCTGAAGGAGCAGCACAAGGTACTTGTAGAGTTTATTCCTGTGTGAATTTACTTAATAAATGAAAATAGCAATAGATAATATATTTGTGTGAGAACATTTTTAATGCCATTTTAGGAAGAATGTACTTTAAATTCCCTACTCTGACTGTGTCATAATTTTTTAAGTGTTAAGCTTCTGATTTCAAAATACTGTTGAGAGGAGTAAATGTTAGATTCTATTTTAACCGTGTACTTGTAGAAATGCTATAGTCACTGTCCACTTCAGAACACTAGAGTGTAATACTGCTACAAAGCTGTGGTATAACACTGAGGCAAAGTATATGGTCAATTCAGTCTTAAAGGAATAGCATCTTCCCTGGAATTCTGCTTAATTTGAAGCACTCTACCCCCTTGAATGTAGAAATTGAGTTATGATCTAAAAATGCAATTACAAGGAAAGAAACCTAATCATTTTCATTTTAACCATAGTACTACTAAGTGATATCATGTTATGTGAAGTTTATAAAAACATAAAATAATCTCTCATAAGGTATAGAAGTAGGAGGAGATCACTTAGCCTCTTGAGCCTGCTTTCCCATTCAATGACTTTTGGAGAGTCAGAGATCTATAGCATAGAATAAAGCCCTTCAGCCCATGGAGACCGTCGGTCAAAAACAGCCATCTAACCACCTTGCAGTTGGTTTTCCAGCACTTGGCCTGTAGCCTTGAATGTCTTGGCACCGCAAGTGTACATCTAAACACTACTTCAATGCATTTGAGGGTTTCTGCCTCTACCACCCTTACAAGCAATGAGTTTCAAATTCCCATCACCCTCTTGGTGGAAAAAGTTTTTCCTCACATATCTCCTCTGAGCCTCCTGCCTCTTACCTTAAATGTACCAAATGCAGACAAGTGGGACTAGTTTAGTTTAGGAAACCTGGTCAGCATGGATGAGTTGGGCTGAAGGGTCTGGTTCCATGCTGTATGGTTCGATGACTCTATCAGTTGCTCACGCGGGACCTTATCAAAAGCTTTTCTGAAGTCCAATTAGACTACATCAAATTCATTGCCCTCATCTATACACCTCGTCATCTCTTTGAAAACTTCAATCATGTTGGTCAAACGTGACCTCTCCTTAACAAAGCCATGCTGACTGTTCTTTATTAATCCCTGCCCCTCCAACTGCAGATTTTAATTCTGCCCCTCAGAATTGCTTCCAGTAGTTTCCCCACCACTGAGATTAGACTGGCTGGCCTATATTTTCCTCGTTTATCTCTTACTCCCACCTTGACTAACTTTGTCACGTTGGCTGCTCCTCTGTGGCACCTCTTCTGTAGCCAGGGAGTAATTGAAAATTATTGCCAATGCCCTTGCTGTTTTCCCCCCTTGCTTCACTGAACAGCTTAGGATACATTTTGTCTGGCCCTGGAGATTTATCTAACTTAAAGATTGAGCTGTGACCCAACTTCACCTGACTTTGCCCCTCATTCCTTCAAACCTTTGGTTAGCAAAATATACCAATCATAAACATAAAATTGCCAATTGTTGCTTGCAAAAAGAGTGTTCCAAACTTCTGCCACCCTTTACATGTTGAAGCATTTTCTAAAATCATTTCTGAAAGGCCTGAGTCTAATTTTTGGAGTAGTCCTAGACTTGCCAAACATGGTTTCTCTCTCTCTTTACCGTATCTGTTCCCCTTAATACCATAAAAATTCAACCAAATAGTCCCTTAACATTCAGATGCCAGGGAATACAATCCTGCAATAGGGTTTTTGTTTGTTCTATTAAAGCAAAGTATTGGAGTCACTGGAAATCTGAAATAAAAACAGGAAAGTGCTGAAACTACTTTTCAGGTTTGGCAGCATCTGTGGACAGAGAGACAACATTTTATTTACAGGATCTTACAAAAGATCCTTGATCTGAAATGTTAAGTGTTCCTCACAGATGTGACCACTACCTTACGGCATTTTCTGATTTTACTGAGTTTGTTTAATCTCCTCATAAGTTAACCTGGGTTTCATTCCAGAAAATCTTCACATTAATTCCTCCAAAAGAAATATGTTCTGAAGATGTTAAGATTCCTAGAATTACCCTGTGCTCCATGTGTGGCCAAACCACCACTTGAATAATTAAAGAATAATTTCTATCCCCTTATTCTAATTCTCAAGAAATATGATCAACGTGACATTAGCTTTCTTAGTTATACTGTGTATCTGCTTGTGATATTTTATATTCTGTGTACCTGGACCATCACTGATTCCAGCTTTTCACCATTTTAAAAGTACCTTGTTCTATTTTCTTTTAGGTCCAAAATGGATGGCCCCTCACTTGCATACATTGAAATCTATTGTGATAGTTTGTTTTACTCATTTAATCTTATGGCAATTTTATGCCACCATCAACACTGCCTACAATGCAACTGATCTTCATGTTATTGACAGATTTTGATATTGCTTTCTTAAATATTTCGACGTAGTTTGAACTTGATTTGAGGAATGCAAAAAAAAAAGCAATTTTGCGCTCAAAGCAAAATTGACTTGGAGCTTTTCATTTGGACATCTGATTCCTACATTATCACTTGGCTTAGATATGAAATGCATAATCTGCTGTGTTTAATCTCTGGGCTGCTAGATTTTCATGGCTACTTGGAATTACAGTTTGGAACAAAAGTACCATATGTGCTGTGGCCACCTAGTGACTCAATGGAGTCAAACTCTATTGTACAACTGAGTTTAAAAAAAGTGTTTTGGAATTAATTGTTAAATTGGAGCCATCATTTTACTTAAATAGCTCATCACTCAAGGGGATGGGAGGACATGAAGACACAGACGAATATGTAAGTTTAGTATTTTAAAAAAAGCATTAAAAGCCTAACATAAGTAATGGGAAAGTAAATCTCTAGATCAAAAGTAAAGTTTGTGGAACATATACATTACTAATATATTCATTTCCTTTAGCATTTCTCCAAGAACTCTCATGAATTTAAGAACTAATAAGCATGATCTCATGAACAAAAAACGTGAACAATGAATATTTTGGCATGTTTGAGATTCATTTTAACGTCATCATCTTATGTCAAGAGTCTCATGTTTCGGTTAAAATCTGATTTTTATAAAAAGCAGTTTGATTCATTAATTCCCAAAATCAAGACTAAAATTCATCAGTAAGTGTAATTTCAAGCATTTCCACATGAAATGCATTTAATTTTCAGAAGCAACTGCTCTTTTTTGATTTCATTGGAAATAATCTGAATACTTAGTTTCTTTTCACGTAGATAAAATAATACATTCTAAGTCTATTGCCAAATTTCATTTTAATAACTCAAGATTCCTGTTTAAAATGCCATTGAAACTGATGATGAACAAGTTAAATATAACAGATATTTATAATATGCTTGATTTTAATATTTTTAACTGTGCATGCATCTGATGTATGATGAATCTATTAATTATCTACTTTTTGTCATTTAAACCGTTAATACATTTGTGTTTGTTTAAATAGGTGAAATGCAACTTTGATCTGGTTGGTGCGGTGAACCTAAATGAAGCAGACCTAGTTTTTGAAATTGAAGCGTTTCAAAGGAAGAGACTCAAGAAAATCCAGTGTGAACAAAGTGAGAATTTATTACTTACTGAATTTTTTTTTGCGGGAATGAAGTTGACTTTCTAGCATGGGAGATTAAGTAGCGACTGACATAGACCTACGACTGACATAAGGCTCATCAGCCTGTAACTTCCCGGATTATCTCTCTTGCCCTCCTCAAAGAAGGCAACAACATTGGTTATTCTCCAGTTCTCTGGGACCTTTCCTGTGAGTAAAGAGGATACAGAGATTTTGCACGTGGCCCCAGCAATTTTCTCACCTGCCTCCCTCAGCATTCTGGGATATTTGTCTACCCTACTGCTTTTCAAAACACCCAATACCACCTTTTTTTTTAATACTGACATGCCCTAGAGTATCAACAGACCACCCCCAAGTTTGCCACCCACCACGTCCTTCTCCTTTGAGAATATATTCGCAAAGTATTTGTTAAAATGCTGTGTTATGTTATCACAAACTACCTTATGAAATCTCACAGACAATCAAACACTGAAAGAGTTCTTTAAACTTTATTGTATGTAGCAACCAAAATAAGACCCCTCAAGTAAGCAAGTTAAGTCTCACAACCCAATTACTGGATTTATGGTAGAATTTAGCTACGAGTCCAACAAATGATGTCTTTCTCTGCATGTCCAGCATTCAGTCCTTGTGAAGGGTTGTTCTTTGAAGTTTTGCTGCTGAAGAGTCTTGGAGTTGAATTAATATACAATTGTCTGTCCTTCAAATTTATGGTGTGGTGTTATTCATGATCCTTTTATGTTCTTTCATCCAAAACATTGCAAGTCTGCAGCATCCCTTTTTATTGAAAGTAGCTTCCCTGTTCCTTGTTATGTTTGGTACTGACTGTCTATTTAAAGACTCAACGTTCCTGAAGTTAACTCCTTAAATTCTTCTGCAGGGCAACCATTTGATCTTCTGGCTTAAGGCAGCCAGTTATCAAGCAGTTGTCAAAACAGTTTTACTTATGTAGCTTCAACTCCTCCTTTTCTCAGGCATGGCTAATTGTTTTCAGTTCCTATGCAAGTTTGTCCTTGTCCCTTAACAATTTATTCCAGGCAGAGTTATTGCTGATTCTTTCAATCCATGAACAATTAAAGTTCTGAATCTTACAATATCATATTAAGGACCTCACCCACTTCCTTTAGCTCCACACACAAATTCCCTCCTTTGTCCTTGAGTGGACCTAACCTTTTCTTAGCTATCCTCATGCTCCATACATATGCCTTGGGATTTTCCTTAATCCTGTTTGCTGAAGACAGACATTTCACGGCCCGTTTTAGCCCTCCTAGTTCCTTGTTTGGGTTCTTTCCTGCTATTTTGTGTTCTTAGAGGGCTCTGACTGTCTTCAGTTTCCTAAACGCAACAAGTGCTTCCTTTTTCTTTTTGACTAAGCTGTCAACTTCTCTTGTTATCCAAGAATCCCAAATTTTGCTATCCTTATCCATCATTTTCATAGGAACATGCTGATCCTGAACTGTAATCACCTAGCCTTTTTAAAACATTCCCACATGTCCCATGTGGATTTACCCTCAAATCTACATTCCGCAGTTCCTGCCTAATATTGTGGTGGTTAGTCTTCTCCTACTTTATTACTTTGATGCTAGGGACTACTGTTATCCATGAGTAGCTTAAAACTTACAGAATTATAGTCACCGTTCCCCAAAATGCTGTCCCACTGAAACTTCCATCACCTAGCTGGCTCATTCCCCAATACCAGGCCTAGTATGGCCCATTCCCTGGTTGGACTATTTACATATTGTTTCAAAAGATCCACCTGGACACACCTAACAAATGCCATCCTGTCAAAAGCCAAAGTGGTTTCATGGTAAGTACCACAATAGGCCATGTCATTTTTTTGTTCCAAAAATGGTTACTATAAATAAGGGAATGTATTGCAATGAGACTCTGTTCAAGAATTGGTCTCACCACCTCTCAAGGCCAATTATAGATGGTCAATAAACATTCCCTGAATTAGTATAAAACAAAATGGCATGTTAAGTTCCCTTTGTTTTCTGTCTTTCCAGGAATTCAAAGGTGCACAAGACATAATTGTTCAACTAAAGCAACCCGATTTCCCTGTGAATTTTGTGGTCGAAGGTTCCTGGATCGCTCAGAATGGAAATGTCACGTTCAGAGACACTCCGTAAGTTGCACTGATTTGTTCAATAATTCTGCCAGTTACAAAGACGAGCGAAGTTTTTTAAAAAAAAGAAAAATGAGTCATTAAGTAAGATGGTCAGTTTGTACAGAGTTGATGTTAAATATTTCAAGGCTAACCTGTGTAGCAGTTCTGTGCTTATCCACTAACATTTAACAATGAAATGTACACCTCACATTATTACATTGTTTCCTGTTCCTAATGTGCCAGTGTTGCCCTGTGTTCTGCCTACAATGAAGAAGTTGTTGATTTCTATTTTGGAGAGAATTTTTCCTTTTTGTATTATGTATGTGAAGTTCTTGTTTCTGCCTTTAAGCCGGTATGATTTCAGACAATCTTTTAAATGATTTGCATGAGAATATAGAAGGCATGGTTAATAAGTTTGCAGACGACACCAAAATCAGTGGCATTGTAGACAGTGAAGAAGGTTTTCTAAGATTACAAAGGGATCTTGATGAAATGGGTCAATGGGCTGAAAAACGGCAGGTAGAGTTCAGTGTGGATAAATGCGAGGCATTGTGTTTTGGTACAACAAACAAGAGTAGGGCTTATACAATTAGTGGTAGGACCTTGGGTAGTGTTGTAGAACAGGGGGACCTAAGGGTTCAGGTACACAATTCTTTGCAGTTTGTGTCACATATAGACAGGGTGGTTAAAAAGGCAACTTGCCTTCATCACTCAGTCCTTTGAGTATTGGAATTGGCAAGTCATGTTGTGGTTGTATAGGACATCGATAAGGCCTCTTCAGGAATACTGTGTCGAGTTCTGGTCACCCAGTTAAAGGAAGGATATTATTAAGCTGGAGAGGGTTCAGAAGAGATTTACCAGGATGTTGCTGGTTTTGGAAAGTTTGAGTTATAAAGAGAGGCTGAATAGGCTGGGACTTCTTTCATTGCAGCGTAGCAAGTTGAGAAGCGACCTTATGGAAGTTTATAAAATGAGGTGTATAGATAGTTAATGATAGTTGTTGTCTTTTCACTCGGATGGGGGATTTCAAGACTCGAGGGCATATTTTTAAAGTGAGAGGGGAGAAATTTAAAAAGGACATGACGGGCAGATTTTTTTACACAGAATGATTCATGTGTGGAATGACCTTCCAGAGGATGTGTGTACAATTACAACATTTAAAAGACATTTGGATAAGTACATGAAAAGGAAAGGTTTGGAGGGATATGGGCCAGGAGCAGGTGGAAGGGACTGGTTTAGTTTGGGATTATTGTCAGCATGGACCGGTTGGACTGAAGGGCCTGTTTCCATGCTGTATGACTCTATGGCAATTAAACATGTCAGAAGCCTGAACTATACTAGAATATTTGGTTTGTACCCTTTAATTGGAAATAGTTTGAGTGGCTACTTTGTACCTTATTTGTGCTAACCCAGTTGAAAATTCCTCTGATTCATTGAAATGCATACTTTAAAAGTAATATCAGGTAAATGAATGTTTCCTTGACCAAGTATAAATCAGCTTGCATTTCATCTATATGTGATGCATTAAATCTGGCCTTTTGCAGCTTGTCATGGCACAAACCATTGTGGCCAATCCTTTTTAATCACAGGGGAGGCACAACTTCAAAAACCTCTCCAACCCCAAAGTTTGAGAATGGAAAACACTAGCTAATGGGGAATTTTCTAAGTGCAATACTAAGACATCCGTAACAATGAATTCCAGCAATTCCCAGTGACTAATGTTAGTCTGACAGGTATGACTTTCAAGTTGATGGCTCCATTCCCAATTAAGGATTTTTGGAAAATCTTGGCTAGAATGTCCACAATCTCTGCAATTTTCTCTTTCAGGAACCTAGGTTGTCAGCCAGTACTTCACAAACTGTTTTTGATCGCGACTCCATTTTGATGAATGAGAATTACTGGAACCCCAGAATTGTTGGAGGTTGTTCAGACTGTGTAGAATTTTTAAGTAGAAAGTAGCATCTTTTCTGTCCTTAACTTCCTGATTGAGCCATGGATGGATCTTCTTGCTGAGCTTCTGTTTTTCACTTGTCATTATTGTCAATAGATTTTCAACTTCGGTTCTCTCCTCGTTCCTATCCACTTGGCTTTAAGTTTAGCATTTGTGTTTGTAATTTGGTGTATGTCACTTTCAAACTCAACATGGAATTCAGTAGTCTTATGATTAAGGATTTTTGGAAAATCTTAGTATCGGGAATGGATCCATCAGCTTGAGGTCAGAACTGCATGTTTGTTAGTCTAGTTGTATAATACATGATTTCAAATAGATTCGTCTCTAGCTTGGCAAATAAACTCATCTTCTCGACCAGTCTTGTCGATTTGATCATCCCAGTCTACATGTTACAAAGTTGGGTAGAGTATTCATGAATTGGAAGGCAGGGAGTTAGAATTTGTTGGTTAAGAATGATTGGGAGTGGGGGAGAAAGTGCCGTGGTCCCTTTAAGAGCTTGTGCTTTGTCTGTGCTTGAAAGTTTATAAATGGAGGTGCACAGAGTGTGTCTGAATGGAAACATTTTCTATAGAACAGCGAAGCAGCATTTTTCCAAGATGACAAGTTTGAATTTGGCCAATTAATTTAAACAAAGCACCTAGATAGAGAAAGCTAATTGAATTTAAGCCTGATGGTGTTAACAACCGGAAACCAATCCTATTATAAGAATTTGATAATGTCATTTACGGGTATATAAGACAAAGGCATTTGGAAAGTCGGGGAGAGCCAACTGCCATCTGAAAGAGAGAGCTAACTGCCACCTCTGCCAGAGTAAGCACCATTCAGCTCTCCAAGAAAGCTCATCTAATTAATTAAAGGTACCACTGTGTTTTAGCTCCAAGTTCTCAATGAAGAAATTATAGAAATAAAATATCCCTGACAGCAGAATTAGCAGAAGAAAGATGTTTGTGAAGAGACTGGAGATAACGGAAGATTCCAGAAGACAGTCTGTGTGAACTTGGAGAGATTAAGTTAAAATTTATTGCTTCTTATTAATTGGGTTTATATTAGTTGGACTTGTCTTTATTTTAACAACATTCCAGTAGAATTTAGACTAGTTAGGGAGTAGTTGTTAGTCTAAGGGTGAATTGTCGGTTTGTTAGACACTTTTGTTAATTTGTTCATTGTTGGGTTAAATAAATTGTTTCTTGTTAGTTGTAATGTGGAGATCAAGGATTTTTTTCTCTTAACTACTCTTTTAATAGGTTACGAGAGGAAAGAAAGCTTCTCTGGGTGTTTCGCGGGTAATTATTAGAGGGGAACTCCTAACCCCATCATAACAGATTGGGGTTTGAGTTTTAGTTTTAATTATCAGAGGGGTTTAGCCATTTCCCCATCGTAACATACATGAAGACCAAAGTGCCCCATAATCATTGCTTTGCCTTTGTTACAAACTCAGAATGTAAATATACAGCAGGAATGGAAAAGGAAAAAAAACTATATGTTCAAGGCAACTTACAGGCAAAGGTCATTTGATATCAATGGGATCTTACAAATTACCATGTAGCTTGCAATATTACGTCTTAATAATCTTACCTTTAGTGGCCATTGACTGCAGTGCATGGTGCCTTTACATTAATTCGCCCGGCTGCATGTATGGCTTATCTCTAAGAAATAGTTCTGACCTGCAGTTAATAATTGGATCTGCTACACACCCTTAAGTGGAATAAAGGTATCTAATGTGTGGTTGCAATGTTTCCCTCCCTGCAAGTGTTGGGAGAGTTGGTGAGAATGTAAAGTATTTGAACAAGTTGGCCCTGGGGAGGTATTGGCTTAGAAGTTTTGGGACTTTCTCGATGTGCCAGCAATTAAGGCACTTCAGTGGTCAATCAGCAGGCACTTAAGGGCCTCAAATCTCAACCTCACCAATTGTTTACCTTAGAAAAGCTGCTGGCTTCCTGATGTGGGAGGGGGTTTCTCTGTTGTTCTCAAACTGGAGGTATTCCGAAGTATGGATAAGGTGCTAGTGGGCAGCATCTGAAAGCTGTACCTCTGAATCCCCTCCCCCTGCTGTGCCATCCCACACGTATTAAAGAAAAAGACATACCTTCTTTTTGTTGGATTCTTTGAAAAGTAAGCCATAAGCAGGCTTTAGGAACTGAAAGTTTCTGGCCTCTGGCTGGCAGGTTCTGTTGCATGTGGATATTGCTGTTGAGGTCTCTGAAAAGCCAAGAAATGCACTGGTCAGCTCTTCAGCAAATTGGCATGTGGTTCAGCAAACTTTCTCAGTGGTAGGGGCAACAAGTTAATGGATGTCCAGCATATTTAGTCTGAAAAAAAGAAAATCGTGCTCTTGGGTTTTTGTGAATAGTGGATTGGGTTGATGGCATTGCGAGGTGGTCAAGGAGAGTTGAATGATGCATAGCTTGGAGCTCAGGTCCTTACTGTTTCAAATCCTTCTGTTAATTGAATATTTTAACCAAGTTTATCACTCAGTTTGGCTTTTGACACTAAAAGAAGAGCAGTAGAGAAACAGATGCCTCAAAGTTTTAATGGAGGCATTCAGATTTGTAGTATGGAAACTTATTTTTTCCAAATCATTGAATTTGAAGTTTTGCATCTTGGCTTCAATATGTGTACAATAAGTATAAGTTCAATTTGTTCAACCTTTCAAGAAGGTTAGTAAAGGACATATGGTGGTGGCAGACTCAATATCTGAATCATGATGTGTGTATTTTTTTAATGGAAGTAGACTATTAGGCTGTATGTCATTTGTAAAATATGCTGGCAATCTGGTGACTGCACAAAGCAAAACCAATCGCACCAATTTGATTACAGTCAAAACCTCATCTTGAACTACTACTGCTGTAGTTCAAAATAAAATGGCAGAAAGGGAACTGGCAGATACAGGTCTCTGGGAATAGCCTTCAAATGCTATGCTTGACAGCTGTGTTTTTTTGAAACTGCAGGATGGTACTTGCTATTGGATATGATCTTAATGTTTCAAAACAGAATGCTGAGACTTTCACAATGTACTAACCAGATCATACCAAGTGAACTGTAGTCACAAATGCTGTAAAAATCTTCAATACAACAGGGAAATTGCAACAAGATTGATCCCAATGGGAAAGAAACCATTTTGAGAATGATTCTGAGAAACTCCAGTTCACCAGTTTAGAAACAAAGTGCCCTTGGTGTGAACTCATTGAGTGACAGTGAAAATTCACTCTTCAAAAAACTTCATATGAAGTCAGATTTTGTGGCAGCAAGATGATTGAATTTGATAGACTTTGCTGATCCTTCTAATGTTAATTTATTTTGGGACAATGACACTGAATCTAGCAATTTTTAGGATGCTTTGTTTTGTGACTATTGCTAATGATTATATTTGCAATAACCAGCTTGGGAGCTGATGAGGACATATTGAGAGGAAACCAGAAAGACGAATTTGTGAATGAAGACCAGAAATCTCAAAATCTTCAGGCAAACAAGACCCTTTCTGTTCCAAATACTGTCAGTGAGTTTTTGTCGATCACTGTTGTGGTTCTTGTTGAAACACCTGAGGAATAAATGCAAAATTGTGTTCTTTTTGCATTTTTTTTTTTGATTAATGTGGTGAACAATAACCTTGGAAGACCTATAAATAGAGAGTGCGTGTTTTATAACTCTATGAAAAGTTATGACACATGTTTGAATAAAACATTTTTTCCCCACAGCAGTGATTTGTCAACTAGAATTTGCCTTTGTTGTGAAATTAATTTAAGCAGTTAGTATTTCTATATCTCCAGCCTTCTGGCATATTATAACTAGGAAGTGTTGTGACCTGATATTTATGGTGGGAATTTATAATGTCTGTGTATAAAATATCTGCTCATTGAATTTGCATCTTTGATTATGATTGGCTAATCATAATTACAATTATTGTTGCACTGGTTCTAGCAGCTGTCATTCTAGAATAAATACTAAAACTGATTAAATGTAGCTACTATAAATTGACCAAAAGTTCACATCAAGACACTTCTTGAAAATTATCTACTTTTATTGAAGTTCACAACAAGACCTGCATGTGTGTTGATGAGCATTTTCCAATACATGCAAGCATTTATTTTTCCATGCCTGGCAGATTATTAAGATATTAAAATACACTGAAGAAATCACAGCAAATTCTCAACCAGACAACATTTTTGCTAAAGTGTAATAACTTCCACTGAGATAAGGACAGTTGCTTCACTTTATCAGAAGTAGAGATGCAAATTTACTGTGGTGACAAAATTAACATATTGTTGACCTCTGTAGTAGTTTCATAACTCTAGATGATGGTGAACCTGAGATCGCGAGACATCTTTTCTACAGATGTACCCAGAAAACCTTAAACAGCATTTGTTCCCTTTACTTTATCTTTCACTCAACGCACACAAACCTGTGGAAGAAAGCTTTCAAAATTAAACATAAATTTGATGTTTAAAGTTATGTTCCTATGTGCATTCAGTGGTTTTCAACTAATTTGATTAAAAATGCACATTTTATGCATTCAGTTCCATTTCTAATCTACGTACTTTTCAGTGTGTAATCTCTTCACACATGTCACCCTTCCCAAGATTAAAATATGAATTTTTGGGTTTAAAAAATTAAATGGTAGAGCTATACAGTAGAAATTGAGAGCTAGCAAACCAGCTAATCTTTAATTTCATTTAATGTTTATGTTTGTAATAGTTTGATTCAAATGGCATTTTGAATTTAATGAATTTCCTGCCAAGTGCACTGTTTAAGAATTTTGGCAGTTTTCTTATGGATGGTTGTTTTAGTTGTACTGATGGGATTTACAGAACGACAAAATACTGAAGTTCTCTAGTATTGGAGCGAAAGTCTGCCTTTAGAATAACTGTTAACTTGGATTTAATTTCTGTTGAAATAAAATGTTTTTGTGTTAAATTGAGTATTTCAGTGCTCATGTTCTGTGTCTTTGAAAATGTAATTATCTTCCCTTTTGGTTAAACATTATTGAAATTATAATATTTGTTCAAATACTTGGAGACTTTTGTACATTTTTTTCTGAATTTGGATTTAAAATTAGAAAAGCAAATGTTCCCTCTTGGTTGCCTGCTGAGGTGCCCACATTCGCATATGTCAATCTTCAGCCTACTTAATTCACTCCTTGTAAAATCAAGAAATGGCTGAAAGCACTGGATACACCAAAGACTTTGGATCCTAACAATATCACAACTGCATCTAGAACTAGATGTGTCTCCAACCAAGTCTTTTTTCCCCAATCCAGCTGCAATACTAGTTTCTACCCAACAATGCGAGATGTTCACCAGGAAAATCCCTTTCAAGAAAGCAAAGCAAATCCAAATCAATGCATAATTAGCCCATCAAATAGTCTCGATCACCGGCAAAGTGATAATTGGTGTCAGCCGCAGTGCTATCAAGTAGCACTTATGCTCACTGATGTTTTATAGACTGATTATTGCTGACATACGGTGCTGGGACAACTTGAACACTATATTCTATATTAAAAGGTCTAAAACAAGAAATTCTTAAAACCTTTCTTGCAAAAAAAAAACCACTTTCCTTACCCACAGTTTTTAATTTTAAGCATGCAAAAGAGAGTAAAAAGTAATATTTAAAATCTTAAAAATCCAGCACTCAGCTGAAACTCCCAGCAAATGAAAACAGCCTCCTCCTCAAATCCAATATCAGTCAACTCTCAAATCTCCAGATCTGCCTAAAGGAATGTCAATCCCTGATGCCCAACGTTATTTAAACCGCTAATATCGAAAAGGTCCAAGTTCCAAAAAATACCTCTCTCCACAACCTTCGACACCTCAATAAATGCATGTATTCCAGAGATCTCAAAGCACTTCCTATTGCAGCATACTGGTATTTTTCCAAAGATTTCAACCACACTGTTTCAATTCCATTCCAATTACGTCCCAAAGTGTTTTATCTGGCATCCAATAATGGAGGAACAGAAAATTTCTCCAACTAAGCATTAAGTCGTAGACGAATATCCTGTCTGGCCTGAAAGTTGAGCCTTCCCATTATTCTTTCAATACAGGCAGGTATTAATTAGACGGTAACTTCTGGCATCAGAAGTTAGACTCCTGCAACTGCAGTGTTTAACAGTAAACAGGCCAAAAACAAAATTGGTGTAAATTAATTCAGAACAGTGTGATAAATGTTAATTATGGCAAAAAAATCTGGCCCTCAAATTTCCTTTTTACAAAAATGGATTTTTATTCCTTCAGAATTTGTGGGATGATTTTTAAAAATATATCACAATTTTATTATTACCTTTGGATTCTTTTATCTCTAATCTGAGTTGCCATTTTACTGAATGAATTTAAATATTCTATTTTCGACTGTGTTTCCGTGAGGATCCTTGAATTTGTTTCACCAAGAGATGTGTTGACACTTGATCTTCTCACATGTCACAGAGCCTCATGTGGAGGGAGCTGTGCTAATAAGAATCATTAGTAAACCACAAAATGCTGCTCAAAGCCCACAAAGACATTGCGAGCAGCCAGATGCATGACATCTGTCATCACTGGTTGCAAATCCTGACCCGGATCTTTGTTCCCTTCCGTCAACTCTCTTCCCCAGAGAATGGCTCAATGGCTGAGTGGAACTGATTTTCCATCTTCCACACCTCATCCTGACAACAAACCCACACCCTCTCTGCTCCCCCATAAAACCACACCCCCACCCATTCAGCAAACTCATTCCCACTGCACCCTCTCCTCACCCTCACCACAACCCATTCTTACCCCATCCCCACCCCAATATTATTATAATCATTGAATCCACAGCCCTGCTGGCCATGCCCTTATTCACATCGTGTTTGATTCATCCTGTGCCCACTCAATGTCAGATGTGGCTCAATCCTTGTTTTAAAATTGCTGCCTGATCCCCCACCCCATCTCTGGAACATTCCCCAGCCCAATGTTAGCTCACCTTCAATTCTGGCCTTTTGAATAAATCAGATCACCGTTGAGAGTGGTGCTTTTGCCAAGGCACAGGGAGTAGGTGGAAGGGCTGACTCTTTGTCGGGGGTGAGGTGATCTGGGTGGGGGGGGAAGAGGGTCGGGACTGTGCTCAGGGGCAAGGGTCTGCGGGAGGGGGCTGATGCCCCTGCCTTTAGCTACCGGAGTTCTAATCTAATTGCCTTCCAAAATCTGTCACTCCTTCCTCCTTTATAATGCTCCTTTAAACTCAACATTTGATTAAACTTTGTTACACCTGATATTCCTGTTACGTGGTTCAGTGTCAAATTCTTAGTCATTCAGCACAGAAACAAACCCTTCAGTCCAAGCCGACCAAGTTCCCGAAACTACTCCAGTCCCGTTTACCTGTGTTTTGGCCCATATCCCTCTAAACCATTCCTAATCATTGTATCTATCCAAATGTCTTTTAAATGTTGTAACTGTACCGGTCTACCACTTCTTCTGGCAGTTCATTCCACATACAATCCAGCCTCTGAAAAGAGTGCTGCTCGCATCACTTCTAAATCTTTCTCCTCTCGCTTTAAGATTATGTCCCCAACTCTTTAAATCCCCCACCCAAAGACTTTTGCTATTCACCTTATCCATGCCCCTCACAATTTTGTAAACCACTATGTTCCAGTGAAAAAATGTCGCAGCCTATTTAGCCTCTCCTCATAACTCAAACCACCCATTCCTGGCAATATTCTGGTCATTCTTTTCTGAACTCTATCCAATTTAATAATATCTTTCCTATAGCAGATGTTTAATAACGTTCCCTTGAATCAGCTTGAGGCATTTAATGATCTTAGAATGCTGTTTAAAAGTAGGTTGTTGCTGTTTAAAAAGCTATTTTTATAGATTCTGGGTTATGGGAGTCACAGAAGTCAAGTGGCACCTAGCAAAGTCTAACAAAGATTGTGCTAATGACCAGATAATCCATAGATAGTGATAATCCATGGTTTAGCCAGAGCGAACTCTGACTCTCCTCTGAACAAACCTTTGCATCTTTTACACTTACTAGAGGTGGCAGACATTTACCCAAAAGACAGCATCTCCAACAGTGCAGCTTTGTCTCGTTGCTGCACTGAGGTTTCACTTTTTGGATTATGACCTGCATTTACGCTACAAAAGAGAATAGCTTGGATCCAGACATTTCCCAACTTATTAGATGCTCCTCAGTTAAAAGTATTTGATTTGCGTGATTTTCGCTACTGGCTGTGGGTGTTAGATGGAATTGGACCAGTGACCCTGCAAGCTATAGAGGCGGGTTGGTTAAAAGAAGCACCTCAGTTCACTGGAATTCCATTCTAGTTGTTTCATAGAATCCCTACAGTGTGGAAACAGGCCCTTTGGCCCAACAAGTCCACACCGAACCTCAGAGCATCCCACCCAGACCCATTCCCCTATAACCCACCTAATTTACACATCCCTGAACACTACGGACAATTTAGCATAGCCAATCCACTTACCCTGCACATCTTTGGACCGTGGGAGGAAACCGGAGCACCCAGAGGAAACCCACACAGACACAGGGAGAACATGCAAACTCCACACAGACAGTTACCTGAGGCTGAAATTGAACCCAGGTCCCTGGTGCTGTGAGGCAGCAGTGCTAACCACTGAGAAGCTATTCGTCTCTCTAGCCCTCCCATTTCACACCCCCTCATCTTCTGCACCCACACTAACTTCTCATATCCTCTCTGTCAACTCTTAACCTACAGTCAACTTCCTCTCCCCTAGCTTCATCATGGGCAGACCTTAGGAGCCACAGGGAGATGCAAAAATAGACTTCTAACAATCAACTATAACTCTAACTCCTACACACTTAGTAGCAAGCAGACTCCCATTTCAGAAACCTTTTAAATGTCCTTAAGATTAATCTCTTCTAAAAAAAAACAAATTTCCATCGAAACCCCATATCAGTGGACTCATTACCTACCTGTTTAAACTGTCAATCAAACTGTGAAATAAGAGCTGTCTTGCTGAGATAATTGTAGCTTTTGAAATTCAGCCAAGCATTTAGAAAATAAAAATAAAATAATGTGGATGCTAGAGATCTGAGATAAAATCAGGCAGTACTGCAGAAACTCTGAGTGTGATGGCATCTATGGAGAGAGAAACGGAGTTAATGTTTCAAGTGCAAGACCATTCTTCTTTGGAACTAAATTCCAAGCATTCAGATTGACTTTGGGGAAATTGAGAGTGCATGGCCATATCCAACTGTTTTTATAGCCTGCAGCAGATAGCTTGTTAAGCAAAGCAATCCAGCAGAGGGCTATCTTTTAACCCTATGATAGCTCTGTAATTTGTTAAAATCCAGGGGACCAACAGTAATCCAGACCTTATCCACTTACATAGACTCCATCAATTCATGATGCCCATGCTATGGGTTAAGACAGTATTGATTATAACACCATATATACTATAATAACGATTATGCTACAAACTAACAACTAACGCTATAAATCTGACCATTAATACTGTAAATCTAAGTCAGTATCTTGTACTTTAACTGAACTTGGAATGATCAAACATCACCGCGCTAGACCTTGGCCTTGATCCACATGGTGATGGTTGCCTGGTCTTCCTCTCCTGGTGGTCCCAGGGGCACCTCTTTCTACGGTGGTTGGTCTCAAGTTACTGCTCCCGAGGGTCCTGTTGTGGTGATTCTTATTCTTAAAGCTTCTGCACCCCTTTGGAAGGATATTCAATTCCCACCAATGGATCAGTCAGGAATCAATCTCCCTGATTGACTGGACCAATCAGGCAGTGCTATGCGGATGGTGGGGTGGTCTTTTGTTCTCCATTTCTGAAAGTGTCAGGGACATGTAAGTCAGGTCGGCTTCTCAGATAAGAATGTGAGATGTCCTTTTGTTCTGGAAACAGCTCGATGTTTCCTATTGTCTGGCAAATAGGCTTAGTCAATTGTGTATTGTGCTGTCTGCAACTTGTTTATTTTAGAGTCTTT